TGCATGTCGTAGAAAGGACTCAGGCTTCTAGATAATTGCCGTCAAGCTTACTGGGCCAGAGGTTGTCACCTGGAGGACACCAACTTTTACTTTTGTGGTAGTCCTTGGTCCCTTCAGGGTGCATTGCTCTGGAGGCCAGCACCCAAGAGATGTGATGTAAATGTTTGGTGGGTTACAACCAACTCTACTGAGGAAAGAAATAGCTTAGACTAGCCTACAGTGGTTCGCTGGACCTAGCTGACCAAAAATCTGGTCAGGCTGGTTTGTTTTGATCATTTGAGAGGGGTTTGGATACTTGTCAGCTGGGTTGACCATCAAAACTGAACATCAACTTGGAAAACCAGCTTAACCAGTTTTAACCAACCTAAGATATCCACTTTCAGGCCCACATAGAATCAGATCACTGTGAAAAAGAAATAGAACATTTGTCATTCCCAAAATTCTGTTGCATTGTTTTTGTTTTAAATTAAACATTTTGGCTAATTTGATTATGCTCTTAGCTACCAACAAGAGTGTAGCGCTGTACTGAACACATTTTACCCTATTTAAATACATTCTACAGAATCCCACAGTTTTTCAGGTAAAATCAATGAAACTGCAAAAAATGATTTTCTTATTCAGTATTTTGTCTTTTCCACTTCAAATTTTTAAAATATATTTATTTGAGAAGCAAAATGACATAAGATATTAAGTTTAGAGTTTTTGCTTACAACAAGAAACAATTAGCCAGTTGGGTATATAAAACATATTTTTCCAGTTGAATTAAGTTATATTTTTTCCTGCTTTAAACAAAAACTCACTTAATTCGTATTTCTTTTAGAAAACAAGACTTGTCAAGATATAAAAAAAAAAATATTTTTTTTTGCTTAGATGTACAGTATTTAGATATTTGCACTGGACAACAGGACAAAATACTAAGCAAGAAAATATTTTTTTGCAGTGAAAACGCATCTGCACGTTCGGTCTGGGCCTGGTTAGCAGCACTGCTAATGCTTAGATCATGTAAGCTGCTTTGCCACATGTTCAGGATTAAGAGTAATAGTGAGTTTACAGGTGCTTCCAGTTAAACTTTTGATACATTAGCTGTGAAACTATGAATGTTCCCCATGGCTAAAAATGTTGGCACATTCGAAACAGCCCATATAAAAAGTGAAGACGTATTATGTTAAATTGATTTAAAGTGATTTACCATTCGCTTTTCCACTTTGTCACCTGGATCTGTAGGTTTAGATTTACGCTCGGTGATACAAAACAGGCACAATGGTTCATTAAAATTCACGAAACGTACTCGCACCCCATCACACGAACACATAAGCGAAACAATCGTGTGGAACAATAAACAATCGGAGCGAGGGCAGCTATGCATGCACTATCTGCCAAAGCTTTTCTGCCACAACTTGAGGCTGATGTGTGACGTTCATATGGCACTAACTATGTTCTTCTGTCAACAAAAGAAAAACCTCCACCCTGTCCCAGCTGAGGGACACGCTGCCGCCAGATCTATGAAACTCCTGGCAAAGATTCCCAAGGATGCCGAGGCCACTGTGGTCTTAGTGGGTAAGCAAAGTAGCGTTTCGTTCCAGCGTTTGTTGTTTTCAGGTCCAGAGATGATGTTGAGTCATCGCACCAGAGTTTTTCAATAATGTCTCAGTCAGTTGAAGATGAATGCTTTCGGTTGTGTTTGATTTCTGTCACTGGATCCCTGTTTGTGTGGTTTGATTTTTTACCGCAATAAATGTGTTTATAGGGTGTGTGGAGTTCTTAGAGAAGCCTGCGATGGCCTTTGTCCGGCTCAACGAGGCTGTGCTGCTGGAGTCTGTTCTGGAAGTCCCCGTCCCCGTTCGGTTTATCTTTGTGCTGCTGGGCCCCACGCAGACCAACATGGACTATCATGAGATTGGACGCTCCTTCTCCACCCTCATGTCCGATAAGGTTCATCTTACATGCAATATATATCACGGTTTGTAGATTATTAGGGCCAAGTAACAAATATGTGAAGAGACCAATTCTATCTCATTGTTTTCTGCTGTTTAGTTTCTTTTTCAGAAAATTTCGGGGTCAGTTTTTCTGAAATCTTATAACGCAGTGGTTCTCAACCTTTTTGAGTCCAAGGCTGGCCATTGTCCACAACAATATTCGAGGCCCCATGACTTTTCCATTTGTTCGTTAGATCACACTTTATTTTAAGGTCCAATTCTCGCTATTACCAAACCATTAACTATGACTTTTGCCTCTGTAAACTCCTAATTTGCTGCTTATTAATAGTTAGTAAGGTAGTTGTTAAGTTTAGGTATTGATTAGGATTGGGGATGTAGAATATGGTTAAAAATAATAGTATATTTTTCTGTTTATTTTATCATTTTTGTTTTCAATATTATGTTTCCGGACTATGTGTTTAATATTTAACATGGTATCTCTTTAAGAGAATAGGATGGTGATGTTTAGAGGATATAGTATAGTATTTAAGCCTATAGGGGGCATAACTTCCTTTGTGATCCGGTGTGGATGATCTTGATGTTTAGCTGTTGCTTTGTCCTGTGAAAAAAAATATCTTGGCTCACTGGTTGCGAACCACTGTTACAGTGCCAAAAATGGCTCAACATTGTATTTTTGTTTTTGCTTTTTCTTATGATTCACTGGGTCATGGTGTTCAGTTCAGACTAGATCTTTTGCCATTTTGGATTTTAACAAATAATATTTTCACTAACACCTATAAATTTTATCCAATCTTCTCCAGAATAGTGACTGAATAGAGACCAAGCCACACAATCTCAAAATGGATTTTTTTTCTCATTGTTCTGTGAACCTGTAATGAATTGTGGTGGGACTGGCCAACAGGAATGGACGATATACAGTGGGTACGGAAAGTATTCAGACCCCCTTACATTTTTCACTCTTTGTTATATTGCAGCCATTTGCTAAAATCATTTAAGTAATTTTTTTTTCCTCATTAATGTACACACAGCACCCCATATTGACAGAAAAACACAGAATTGTTGACATTTTTGCAGATTTATTAAAAAAGAAAAACTGAAATATCACATGGTCCTAAGTATTCAGACCCTTTGCTCAGTATTTAGTAGAAGCACCCTTTTGATCGAATACAGC